TATTGTTACAAATTACGGAGAAAAGTTCAACGGTTATCCAACGGTTGCTTAGTAGTCTGTAACCTACCATGTCAAAAGCATTAATGGTGAGAACCGTTGCAACTGGGAAAACATGCAACCGAACTCTCAACGGCTAGAAGCTCTTCCGTCTAACGATTACTAAACTTCCTCAACTATAAAAGGCGTGAAGAAGCATTGAATGCATAAATTGAATACGCGAGTTACCTTCTGCTAATAATTTACTGTTGCATTCAATACTCTGTTCTTGATTATATTGAGCTTCAATGATTCTTATTTATTTACTCTGCGAGAGAGCTTTATCTATCATCTTCAATTACTTTCTTAGTGAAACTCAAGAGTCTAGACTCTTGAGTAGGTTTGTAATCTTACGAAAAGTAAGGGGGAGTGATTGAGCGAATCAATTGCTGTACCACGACACCAAGAGCCTAATTAATCTTGGAGCATAGTAAAATACTTAGAGGTGTTCTGAGAACTGGATGTAGGTCAAGTGGTTGAGACTGAACCAGTATAAATTCTGTATCCACTCTCTACGGTGAAATCACTCTAACTCACGCTCTCTGTTTCTATTTAGCTTACTGTTTTAATACGCAAGATTTTTATAACTCACCCAATTCACCCCTCTCTTGGGTGAGACTACCACTAACACCTTTAGTTAACGATCTTAGAGAGAAGGTTCTGGATGAGGCACATAAGAGTAAGTATACAATTCATCAAGGAATGACTAAAATGTATCATGATCTAAGAATGATGTTTTTGTGGCCCGGGATGAAGAAATACATTAGATAGTATGTATCAGAATGCCTCACATGTCAAAAGACTAAAGTCAAAAATAAAAAACCTTCAGGATCTCTACAACCCCTAGATATCTCTGAATGAAAATAGGATAGCATTTTCATGGACTTTATTATAGTATTACCTTACACTACATCTGGATATGATGCCATTGGGTAATAGTAGACCGGTTAACAAAGTTGGTCCATTTCCTTATGATAAAGGTCAGGTATGCCCTAGAGAAGCTAGCGATGTTCTATGTAAAAGAGATTATTAGACTGCGTGGGGTGCCAGAGAGCATTGTGTCAGATAGAGATCCTTGTTTGATGTCTCAGTTTTGGACAACCATGCAAGAAGCAATAGTTACTACTTTAAGATTTAGTACCACATATCATCCACCAACTGATGGTCAAATAGAGCAAACAACCCAAGCGTTAGAGGATATGTTATGAGCATGTGTTTTTTACTTCAAAGGGAATAGGGATGAGTACTTGCCATTGGCAAAGTTTGCGTATAGTAATAGTTACTATTCCAGTATCTAGATGGCTCCGTATGAAGCTTTATATGAAAGAAAATGCAGGTCTCCATTGTGTTGAATGGAACTCAGTGAAAGGAAAGTTTATGGTCCAGAAATAATAGATCAGACTTCAAAATAGATCAAAATAATTAGACAAAAATTACTCACAGCGTAAACGAGATAAAAGACTGACGCAGATACAAGAAGAAAGCTGTTAGAATTTAAAGTTAGGGATCGTGTATTTCTCAAAGTATCTCTAACTACTGGAGTAGATTGATCCTTAAAGGCATAAAAATTAACTCTAAAGTATATCGGACCGTTTCAAATCCTTCAAAGAGTCAGACCTATAGCTTACCAACTAGCCCTACCTGTTACATCCTAAAAATTTAACCCTGATATTGGAAGTTAAAAATTAGGTCAAGGGCCAATATAGAAAGTAGACAAAAGAACAAAACAATTTTTGATATAAAACCCAGACAGGGTCTGAACTGATATTTTTAGAATTATCAGTTTAGAAAGGGCAAAAAGGAAAAATTTGAGAAAAATTTTAAAAAAATCCCGAAAAATGAAAATTTATGAATTAGAGGTTTTAGAACCCTATTTGAGCTCTGAAGGTAAAATTAGCATGAAAATAGTTTATTACAGAATTTTATGAAAACAAAGGTTTTTAAAAAAAAAAGTAAAAATGGGGTAAAAATAATTATTTTAAATATATAGAGGCCTCAATAATTCCTAGAAAAATATGAAAAAATTATTTAAGGATTTATTTGAATATATAAAATTAATTCCATGCCTTAGAGATGCAGGAATTAATTTTAGAATATTTATTACATGCGAGAATATGGGAAACTGACTTGACTATTCAACTAATAAAATAAATGAGCTACATGTGAAGCATTATTCAGTACTCCCCCTTGCTTCAAAGTTGCAGACATCCATTTACATTATGAAGTCTCCAACTTTTCCAATCAAAAGTGACTTGGTCATTATATCCGCAACTTACTCTTTTGTTCCACAATACTTCAATCAATAATGGCATCTGCTACAAGATCACAATAAAGTCGTATCGAATATCAATGTGCTTTATTCTGATATCATGAAAAGCTGCATTTTTTATCATAGTAATGGCTGATTTGTGACAACAAATAGATCTCTGTTACATCTTGTTGTGGTTGAAGAAAATCTGCTAATAATCTCCTAAGCCACACAGCTTGACAGGCTATTGAAGTTATTACTGCATACTTTGCCTCGGATGAGGATATAGCCATAGTATCTTGCTTCTTTGAGCTCCATGAAATAGCACCTGAACTAGGGAAAAAACATACCCTGAAGTGCTCCTTCTATCGTCCATACAACCTACCCAATCACTATAAAAAAAGCTAAATAATTTTAAATTTGATATGTTTGAGTACCAAATTCCAAAATCAATAGTGCCTGCAACATAATGAATGATTCTCTTTATAACACCAAAATGATGTTCTGTGAGATTATGCATGAATATGGAAACTACACTCATAGAATGTGCAATATCAGGCCTTAGACAAGTAATTCAAACTGCCTACCATGCTTCTATGCCCTCTTGCATTAGCAGGTTTAGTACTATCTACAGCTCTTAATTTCTCATTCATATTCATAGGAGAACATGTTGTTTTACAACCCAACATATGAAACCTTTTGAGCAGATCTATAGCATACTTTCTTTGAGAAATAAAAATACCATCAGGGCTTTGCTTTACTTTTATCCGAAGAAAATGATGCAATAACCCCACATTAGACATTTCAAACTTCTGCATCATACTTGAATTAAAATCATCAATTACTTTTTTAGAAGATCCCATATAAATCATATCAACATAGAGGCAAACCACTAAAAAATTAGAATCACCATGCTATTTTAGATAAAGAGTAGGCTCATTATCACTCCTTTTAAATCCATTTTCACGAAAATAGGAGTCAGTTTTATGATACTATGCATGCAGGGCTTGCTTAAGCCCATACAAAGCCTTTTTCAGCTTATAAATTGTACTTTCATGGCCAGTAATAACAAAAACTTTAGGTTGAGAAACATATACTTCCCCTTTCAACTCACCATTCAGAAAAGCTGATTTAATATCAAATTGAAATACATGCCATTTAAATTTGGCAGCAAAAGCTAGAAAAGTTCTCATTGTTTCAAAATGAGCTACAAGAGAAAAGGTTTCATCAAAATCAATACCTTGTTTTTGAGTATAGCTTTTTGCTACTAAGTGTGCTTTGTGCTTTTGCACACTATTATTAGCATTATACTTGATTCAAAACACCCACTTGAGCCCAATTGCTCTCATACCTTTTAAAAATCAACTAACTCACACGTATCATTCTTCTTAATACAATTCATTTCTTTTATCATTGCATTTTTCCAAACTTGCTCTTTTTTAGCATCCATACAAGACTCAGGATCTAAAACAAAAAGAGCATAATTACAAGGTTCATAAATCTCTATTAAAGATCGAACCTTTTTAGGTGGAGTTTTACTTGAGGAGCTAGTGAATGAACTTACTGGTGAAGATGTAATTCTATCTGCACTAGAAGGTGATGACTATGGTGTTTGTGAGCTACTACTACTTAATATAGATAACTCTAAACCCATTTGATTTGGTTCAGAGTTTCCTACTTCAAAAGTTATTGGAACAAAAATAGATTTTTCATCTACCTTGCTACTCCAATTCCAACTAACTTCTTCATGAAAAACAACATCCCTACTAATAATTATCTTGCCATTAACTGGATTATATAGCCTATAAGCTTTGGATTGCAGGCTATAACCAACAAAAATGCATTTTTCATATTTTTTATCAAGTTTTTGACAAGATGATTTTACCAAAACATAGGCTATACAACAAAAAGCTTTTAAGTGGCTTACTCGGGCTTTACACCTCTCCAAACTTCATAAGATGTCATGTTAGGGGCTGTTTTTATGGGAGAAAGATTAAGCAGATACACTATTGTAGCTATTACTTCTACCCAAAACTAATTTGGAAGCTCTCTGGCTTTTATCATGCTTCTAGCCATTTCAACCACAATTCAATTCTTTTGTTCAGCAATGCCATTTTGTTCTAGCGCACGTGCTGAAGTGAGTTCCCTGTGAATACCATTTTTCTCACAAAAGCTAGCAAACTCATTAGAACAAAATTCTCCTCCTCTATTTGTGCACAAAACCTTTATGCAGCAATCACTTTGCTTCTCTACAAGAACTTTAAATTTCGTACCGACTGCCATTCAAATATTTAGTAGTCATTGGCCCACGCAAATATGCATGTATCAATTCAAGACACTAATAAGCCCTCCAAGACTTCCCTACAGGAAAAGATTTTTTTAGGGTTAAGGTGCAGATTTAACAACCATGTTTTACAAAAAGGACAACTAGCACCATTTACTTTCGAAGGGTGCTAAAGTAGACATAAACATTAAAAAAGAGCACTTTTTAACCACAGCCATTGGAAGGCCCAAACGTCCGTCCATTTTGTGTAAGTGGGTTCCACATCTTTCTCCACTTGGCAAGTGTTAAGCTTCGGACCATTTCAGATGTGGCAGGTAAAGAGTTCAATGACTCTATTAATGTCCAAACGCCTTCCCCTGCAACCACATTTATACCCATCGAAGAAGGCGAAGACGCAGGGAGTACACAAAGTGAGGTCTAAAAGTGAAGTTCATGGCATCATCATCGTCCTCATCGACGGCAAGATACAGGAGAAGGGTTGCTTTATTGAGGCAACCTAGTCGCGAGGACAACTATGAACCGCCAATGAGGTATTGCCATCATGGGTTAGTAGCTCCCCGATGGACGGCGTGGACTGATAATAACCCAGGTAGGAGGTTTTATGGCTGCCCAAACTATGACCAGGTATGAAGTGGTTTTCTTGCTGTGAAAAATGCTATTTTCTTCCCTGGTTCCGTGGTTGAAATGTTGGTATTGAACACGACAGGATGGGGGATGTGGCTATTTCTCTTGGCATGATGGGGACTTCGGTGAGAGGGCAAACATTGTGATCAAGGAGCTATTAGATGATATTGACAGACTATATGATGAAAGTAGCAAGAACCAAAGAGGAGAGCATGGGCGGAGACTAAGTGAAGAACTCAATGTAATTCACAGTGAATTGAAGAAGCTTAAACACAGACATGAGCTGAATGATGTGGAAGTGAGGAAGAGGGAAAATAAGTTTAGAAGAGCAATGTTAGTGTCTGTAATGATATCGGTTGCGGTAGTTGTTTTGTATTTGACAAAGTAGGAGTGTGTGAAATTGATTGCAATATATTTGTATGTCAGGAGATATGGGTTATGATAGCTGTTTTGTAACAATTATGGACCACTTCGTGGTATATTTGATGAAAAAATTAGGGTTAAGGTTCTTAATTGCCCTGAAAGTTTTCCCCGAGGAGCACTCAGCACCCGGAAGTTTTTGTTTGTTCTTAAATATCCCGGAAGTAATTTATCGTAGCAATTATGCCTCGAGTTAATGTTCAGGCAAACGGACGTCTGTAAATGACACGGTGTCGAGAAGATGGACGACACGTTGGTGAATGAGATGGTGACGTGGCACTGTTGTGTCGACAAAATAAAAGTTGATGCCGAAGGTCAATGTTGTCATCGAAGGTCGCTTTTGTCATCGACATTGAGAGCTAGGGCAAAGCAAAGCGAGGTGGGGTGCATGTGAAGTGTGAGAGAAGACCAAAGATCAGTTCTCAAATATGTATTCAAGAAGACCAGTTCTCAAATACGTATTCGAGAAGACCATTTCTCTAATATATATTCAAGAATATATTCGAGAATAAATAAGAATATATTTATCGATAAGCTGTTTGATAAATGAACTTATCGATAAGCTACTCGAATATATTCTTGAATATATATTAGAGAAATGGTCTTCTCCAATACGTATTTGAGAACTGGTCTTCTTGAATACATATTCGAGAACTGATCTTTGGTCTTCTCTCAAGAATTATTCACGTGGTGAAGCAATTACTGATCCAATAATTATATAACAAGGGTGGTAATTTTGATGGCAATAATGTTAATTGAAATAATAGAAGAGAAGAACATATGAATTAAATAAGATGTAAAGGTAACCTAATTAATAATGAGGAACTGAAGATGTAACATAAGATAATAACCTTAATTAATTATAATGGACATTTGTACATGCCACTAATGTTGCTAAAAGAGTTACATCACATAGGACTTGCAAAATAAGAAGGCATCCATCTGAAAGACTAAGCATTGGTTCACCAAAATATAGACCTAGGAAGTGATAATCCCATGTAAAAGGCAATAAGGTAACCATAATCCAAGTAACGAAATACGTAGTACAAAATAGTCAAATACATAGTCTTAAATGTTTCTAAGCAATCTAAATGTTAGAGCTCTTAGAGTTGGTCTTGCTTCTTGTCTTCATCATTTGGCTCTGCAGTTGGAGGTGGGCACTTGAAATGCTTCGTTGGCCCTTCCACATCAACCCAGGAGGTGTAAATGGCAGTGTTGATGGTTGTGAAACAGCGGTCCCTTGCCTAGTGAATGGTATCCTCCTGGAACCCTCTGGTGCAGTGCGTTTTAAAGCTCGTGACAGTCGAAGTTCTTTCTCATTTGGGATTGGAAATTTACTCTGAGGGTCCACGTAGTGTTGTATATACTCCTGTGCAATACCCTCCTCAATGACCACCTCAGAACGCATTCTAGGCTGCATAAGTCAATGACATTGCTTAAATGACAGTAACTTTGCATGAATTAAAATGGAAGAGAATAGTGTCTAGTAATACTTACATTGTAGACGGTTCTCCCAGTTCCCTCATCAATTCTTATACCCATTCCACACTCAATTCTGGGCTTGTAGACAACCCTCTTTCTTGCTATGTGTTTGGAAGGTTTAGGTGGTTGTTGTGTCGATGGAGGATGATTTGTCGACTGTTGGGAGGGTAAAGTGGAATTGGGTGGTTGCTGTGAAGGTGGAGGGGGTGGTTGCTGTGTAGGTGGACTATGTAGTTGCTGTGAAGGTGAAGTGGGATTGGATGGTTGCTGTGTTGTGCCTTGGTTGGCTGTTTTCCTCCTTCTACCAAGTCGAGGCTTATTTGAGGGAGGTGCCTAGAAAGAAATGAAAAGTTAGCTTATAGTTATTGTAATAAATGAATATAAAGAAATTGGCACAAGTTACCTCTGTGCAAGTGCTTCTATTGTGCCCAACTTTCCTGCAGAAGCCACATTTGTTGACTTATCCCCGTTTGCTTACTCTTTCGACAAGTGGTGTTTCTGAACCATTGCTCATGCCAGCTTTACTTGATATAGCTTGAGCAGCTTTCCTAGAGGCAACATTTGTCCTTCTTGCTACTTCTTCTGTCCTGATTCTTTTTTTCCTTGGTCGGCCAGGCAATGTGCACTCAGGTGGTGGTAGTATAGGGATAAACTATTCTGTATCCCAGAATCGTTTGCCCCTCACAGGTGCAAACTTTGTCCTATAGCTAGCAATGTAGGTGTCCTTGTGGTAATAGCGTGAGATATGGGTGAGGGGCTCCAGTTTACAGTGATACATAGCATGAATAGCATGTTGGCATAGGATTCCAGTTAAATCCCATGCCCTGCACGTGCACGTTTTCCTAGTGAGACATACTGTGTGCCTGTCTTGTCCCTCAGTCACCTCAAATCCCTCATCCCCATTGAAAAAAACTCTACATGTAAAGGACAACAACCTATTTGCTTCAAATAAGTCCAGACATTTTGGACTATAGTTGCCTTTCCAATTCCTCACATTTTGCTCACTCTCAGCCCATTTTTCCATCATCTTAACCCTTATCCCATCAAACATTCTAATAACAAGTAGATATCGATATTCATCAATCCAAGCATTTAAACTCTCACTCATATTGTTGTCTACAACCCAAGACAAGCATCTATTACTGAAAGAAGCTCTTACCCAAGTAGATATAGGGTATGACACCATTGCTTCAGCTGCCTCTTTGTTAAGTGCTCCAAGTGCTTTGAGATTGTCTTTGAATTGTTCTTCAAACGTACTCCAAGCACAAGAGAAAATTTTTTTCTTCATCTCGTTCCCTCTCCACCTTTTGCTCCAGTTAGCATAAATATGCCTTGCACAAAGTCTATGCTCGGCCTCTGGAAGTATCTCTATCACAGCATGTTGTAATCCCTACATGTATAGAACTAGTCAATTAAATGTTCTCATTAAAACCACATAAGTCATATGTAAATCAGCAAAGGTAACTAATCATACCTTCTGCATGTCTGACATGAAAGTTACTTTGCCACCATTGTGAAGATCAAGTGATATCCTAAGCCACTGAATGAACCAAGTCCAATTCACACCATTCTCTTTATCAACCAAAGCAAATGCTAACGGGTACAATAAGTCGTTAGCATTTAAACCAACAGCAGTTAACAGAATCCCTCTAGCTTTACCTTTTAGAAATGTTCCATCAACTCCAATCAATGGTCTACACCCAACTTTCCAACCAACCTAAACCAACAATTTTGACTCGTAAGGACAAACTGAAATATAAAACAACAAATTAACAGATTATACCATATGTGACAGAAATCTAAACATCATACCTTTGCTGCATTAAAACACAAATACATTCTTCTAAAAACTCTTCTCCCTTATTCCAAAGCCTCGTTACTTATCTCCATACTAATATCTGACCCAAGATTTGACACTTTCAGTTCATTGCAGTAAGCTTCTAACTTGGAGAATTCATCTACGAAGCTCCCATCCATGTGTTGTATTATTCTCCTCTTTGCCCTCTTGCACTTATGCAAGCTCACGTGGACCTTCAACTCACGCTCAACATCATTCTTCATTTCACATATGCTGTAATTAGGTCTCTCCTGTATTTTCTCCTTGAAATGTTCGGCTAGCCACTTCACACTTGCCCTAGGGTTCTTGAAAACCCTACCACACCTGTGCTCATTGCACAATGTCTTCACCTTGTAGCCCACATTATTCCCATCTCTCGATGCATATAAGGTGAATGGGCAGCCCTCTTCACATATTGCCTTTAATAACCTTTTCTCACTTCTAATAATTTTGATATTCACCCCTTTCGAAATAGCATAGCTGTCTATGGCGCTCCTAGGCTCATTTAGGTCTAAGAAAGTCATGCCTAACATAAAGAAAGGCTGGTCTCCCAAGCCCTCCAACACGCTAAGCCCAACTCTTTCATCTGGAGGCTCACAATCTTCATTAAGGCCCATATCCTCATCTTCCTCTTCACTATTTTCAGATACTTCAAAATCATCCACCAAACTCTCCTCAGTGTCAGAGCTGGCACTATTTCCAACATAATTCGAATCCTCGCTATCAGAACCTTCTTCATCCTCACTATCTCCCCCTTCCTCACTTTTATCGTCATCCTCATCCATAACCAATACTCTTTTCCCTTTGTCAATTTCTCTAACAATGTCATCCTCACTATCTCCCCCTTCCTCCCTATGTTCAGGTAAATCTTCAGTTCTATCATCATCTATCTCTTCTAAACCATCTACATCTACACACTCAATCACCTCTTGTTCTGGATCTCTGTCATTTTCATTGCCCTGTTCCTCTTTGTCATTTTCATTGCCCCCTACCTCTCTCTCATCTTGATTGGCCCAGACCCATCTCTCATTTTCCCTACTTCTTCTTACCTACTCACCTATGCTTCCATGCCCCTCACTCAATTTTTTCCTTCGTCCTTTCCACACTTCATTTTGCCAAATCAAACATTTGACTCACCTTTTTAAGTAGCCTCGCATGCCTCTCTTCCAATGTCTCATACTTCTTGGCCTCCATGTCATCTCCTCCATTTGTGTCAACATTGCCCAGTTCAACAGGAACATTATCACCCTTGTTTGTCACCATTCGCACTGCAACAAGTAAATCCCTAAATTATTAAGGGCTTCGACGCCATTTCACTATTCAACTTAAAAATACAACAACTTTTTGTCTAAATCGATGCTTACCTGTGAAGAATCTGCTGTTCCCTCGCCTGTAATCCTTCAAGAATCTTCGATCACATACTCTTCGATGGACCACACTTGCTAACCCTCTATCTCAATTTCTCACGTTTTCAGTTTCCCAATTCAGAACCCTACAAGAATCTTAATTCTCAGCTTTCTCGTTCTCTCCTTACCCCATCGACGCTTTGCCTCCTACTCTTAATGTTTGATTTTGCGCCTCACACTTAATCCAATTTTTAGGTCTCAGCCACATCACCATTTTCTTTCTGCCACGTCATTATTTACTCCCTGCCACTTCATCATTTTAGGTCAAATTTTTCTCACGCCCATCCTTGTAACCGTCAACGTTAGGCCTTTCAACAGCTGTGGTTAAAAAGCGCTCTTTTTTAATGTTTGTGTCTACTTTAGCACCCTTCAAAAGTAAATGGTGCCAATTGTCCTTTTTGTAAAACATGGTTGTTAAATCCGCACCTTAACCCATTTTTTTACTCTATTTTCCCAAAACACAACCATCACAAAAATCAATAGTATCAATATTTGGCGGCCCAAAAACCATATCCTTTTTACTCAACAATTGCAACCCATTAAGATGCAAATGACCATATCATAAATGCCACAAATCGGAACTACTAACTTCTTTAATAGCCAAAGATCTTTTTTCAAAAGAAGAAATGTCAAGAGGAAACATTCTATTTTTGGCCATGGGAACTTTTGCATCTATTTGACCAAAATTCTTATAAAAAACATTACAATAGAAATCATCAAACATCACTCTAAAGCCATTTTTCATCATTTGTCTGACGCTCAATAAATTATTAGCCAAACTAGGCACAAGCAAAACATTATTCAACAATTTCTTTTTACCATAGTCATTATAAACTGCAATTGTACCTCAACCTTCAACTTGAACTTGCTTATCATCACCAAGGTGAACATCAGATTTGTCTAATTCATCTAGCTCCTTAAATAGTGGACGTGAACTAGTCATATGATTAGAGTACCCACCGTCAATGAACCATATATCTTTTAAAGATTGAGTGTTTGGGCGATCAGAGTAGAATGTCGCCTTTGGATGATGGAGGTTTAGCTATCCTTGCTCTTAAATTGATTAGGAGTTTTTGAAATCTCTAAGTTTGAAAGAAACCCCAAGTAATCACTTGGGTCTAATGTTTTAATTAATAAAAACTCTCTTTAATCAAAGTTAATTAACACATCTTAAAACATTGTTAAGAGCAACTTAGAGTGTAAATGAATGGATGATGTAAATGCCCTCAGATTGCCAATCAACAACCACAAAATACCAAGTAAATAAATTAATCATCAGATATCACTGATAATCAAATGACCACAAGGATTCAAAACTGAAATATTCATATAGATAATTCAACATTAAACAACATCCAATCCAATTACATTGCAATAGTCTAAACACAAGATTTACAAATCATAAATTAAGTCTTACAAAAGTGCAGAAATTCCTAAATCTAGAAATGTTCAACACAAATTTAAGCACAAGTTTAGACTACGAAACTCCCCTATTAAGTCTTTGAACTCAAGCATCGTCCCCTTTCACCAAAAGGCAAATGGTTTAGCCTCTCATGTCTTCAAACATGTCACAATCACTCCAGGTATGTTCAGCCATGATTAATGCTAAAAAAAAGGGTTAGAAAAATGGAGAAGAAGGTGGTAGAAGTGATTTAATCAGTTCAAAATCGCAGAAATGGTGAAGAAGTAAGGAAAAATGGAGATTTGTGGTGTGGGATCAATTGAGACTTAAGAGAAAATGGTTGAGGCCTCTATCCTTGCAAATGTGCAAAATGGAGGCTGTTTGGTCTATGGTGGCTGCTTTTCTTAAGTCTAATTGCAGAATAACCTACTCCAAAATGAACAGCTACACTACACACATTCAGGTCATGACCTCAGTGTCACATCCAGTAATATGGCATTTAGGAATAAGGATATTCCTAAATAATTAAGGGTCAAAAGTGACAAGGAGAAATAGAAGAATTTTGGTGGAAAATAATTATTATAATTTTCTAAGCCAATTATGAAAAGTTTGACTAATTAAGAAAAATTAGTCAAGAATAATTATGGAAAAATATTTTCAAGCCTCAGAAAATTAAGGAAAAATAAGGACAATGTTCCTTGAGAATTATATGGGATTATAAAATTGGTTTTATGACCAAATTGCCCTTAGAGAAATTACAAAGGAATTTAAGGGCGATTTAAGCTAGTCTAAGGTCCTTTATTTGGAAAATTCCAAATGAATATTTTTAAGGAGGATAAAATCCCAAGAAAATTCTTATGATATCCCAAGGAATTATAAGAGATTATAGAATTAAAAGAAGACCCTCAAGTATCCAAAATTTTTCCCAATTCATTTGAAAATTGAAAAAATCACTGAAGAGAAGGAAAATAGTTTTCCTTTTATTTAATTATTGGCAAATTAAACTTGAGTCAAACAGGGAAATTTGGGAAGATAAAAATGAGGAGAATAATTTATGGATCTGACAGAAAATAATTACAGAGGCTAGAGCACTGTAATTATAGAAAAGAAGTTAAACCTGGAGTAAAAGTGCACCGATAAAGTAAGAAGCAGAGTCTTGCACTTTACTTGGCCCACAAGTTGTTATTTGTCACGCCTTTAATGGATGGTAATTAAAGCTTTCCAAGTGTCAAGCTACCAAAGTAGAGGATCTTGACTTTGGAATTTAATTACATTATGATTTAAGTTAATTAAGAGAGAGGATTAAGACTAAGTAGGCTTTTGACATATGGCATAACATTAATGATGGTTGGTGGGATATTTTGTGTGCATTGAATGAGCTCATCTGTCACATCCAGTATTATGATAATTGGAGACAAGAAATATTCTCAAATTATTGAGGATTAAAAGTAATAAGGAAAAGTCAAAGAATTTTGGTGGAAAATAATTACAGCAATTTTCCAAGCCAATTATAGGAAATTGACTAATTAAAGAAAATTGGTCAAATGTAAATAAGGAAAAATATTTTCGAGCCATGGAAAATTAAGGAAAAATAGGGATAATATCCTTTGAGAGTTATATGAAATTATAAAGTTGGTTTTATGACCAAATTACCCTTAGAGAAATTATAAGAGAATTTAAGGGTGATTTAGGCTAATTGAGGGATTTTATTTGGAAAATTCCAAATAAATATTTTAAGAGGAATAAAATTCCAAGAAAATTCCTATGAGATCCCAAGGAATTATAAGGAATTATGAAATTAAATGGAAACCCTCAAGTGTCCAAGATTTTTCCAAATAAATGTGAAAAGTGGAAAAATCCCTAAAGAGAGGGAAATTAATTTTCCTTTTTATTTAAATATTAGGAAATTAATTTTGAGATGAAGAGGACAATTTAGGAAGACAATAATGAGGAGAATAAATTAAGGATCTGATAGAAAATAATTACAGAGACTAAGATACTGTAATTATAAAAAGAAGTTAAACTCAGAGCCTAAAGTATACCGATAAAGCAAGATTGGTGTCTTGCAAATCCAAGGGATCCTATTGAGCCATGTGTCAAGCTCTTGAAGGAGAAGATTTGAATTAGCCAAGTGTCATTCCATGAATGGAGAGGATTTTGACTTTAGTAAATAATTTCATTTGGAATTATGTTA